GCGATCTCATATGTTCTTGGATGGGCTATGAATACTGGGTCTATGGGAGGGCTGAGAAGGCATTCTGCTGCAGCCAGCCTGCCGTGCTCCGACGCGTATTCCGACGCGAGGAGCATGGCATCGTACGTGTTACCCAGCACAGCACTGATGAAGGCGGGTTAGTGAGGAATAGCAACATAATAAGTGGGACACCCACGACTGGCCGTCTAGATGCCAAGGTGTGTACACATCCTCCGGGGGACGCATGATATCGAGGTACGAGTTCTCGATTATCCATGGAGTGGGGAAACCACCGACCGGCTGTTCGGCCTGCGGATGTGAAGATGAGTGTAGGCGCATGGCCTGCTCAAATGACAGCGTAATTCCGGATGCATCAAGAGGATTGACGAGAGTATATGAAACGAAGGAGTCGGCCTGAGGGTATGCCATGTCGAGGGGCGAGTGGCGTGTCGCGGAAGAGACAAGAGCGAGGTGCTGGGGGCATCTCCGAGTGGTGCCCAGCCATGTCTTATATTCTGATGGTGCCCCGACATTGTGCAGCAGGGCAGTATGCTCGCCGCCTCTCGCCGCTGTTCTTGCGTCCTAATTGGGAGCCTGGGATGGGAACGTTTCGTTATAAGAACATCGTGGCAAGTGAAGTGGTGGACAATTTGAAAATGGGCACGTGGCGGCGCCTACCGCGCCGTGCTCCGTTCCGTCGTCCTTCAGCGCTGGCTTGCTACCAACATAGAGAGCACTCATATTAAACATTTCCTAGGGTTTTGTAATTTGCGCTTGTGACGTCTGCAAATATAAACGAATCCCTCTGTCGATCAAAAATAATGTTCGGTATGCGCTGGCCCCGCGCTCTGGTTCAGCAAAGGTGCGGATCCCTGCTGTAAAATACTTGACTCACCAACGTCTCCTAGCTTCCAGTGACGCGATATGTTCTCTCCATCCTTTAGGAATCTCTACGTCTTCGACGTCGGGTGCCTGCTTCAAGTATAACAGTGCCCTTCTGTCGTCCATGAAGGAGGCAGAGTGCGAGGCTGTAGTGACTGGGCGTCCGAAGGTAACGTGTTTAGACGTTGAGTATACCGTGATGCCTTTTCCGAGGTGGAACACGGGATGCTGGACGAGACAGCACGATCGCCAGACTCAAAGGTGTGGGTCTCTCCGCTATCATATCTGTGTGTGTGTGGAGACTCGATGTCGATGTGGCCATCGTCTTCCACAATCACCGGCGCGTAGATGTTTATGTACTTCTTGCCGCGAGCGGACAACAAGCTAGATCGTCGTTTGCTGCAGTGGACGGATCTTGCTCCTGTCGGAGGATCCCCGTTCATACTCGTCTCGTTCACGCTCATGGGCCGACTATACGCGCTGTTTCGTCCTCGGCTTAATCTCACTTGTGCATCCTGCTCTTTCATCGTCGACTGTCTCAGCCCTACCACGCATTTGCATTTTATTTCGTGTCGCAGTGTGAGAGCACGTACATTCGCGACATTTGAATTGTTGGTGTGAGACGGCATGGTCAGCGGCGGGCTAGGCTTCCATCCCCGGAGCTTTACGGACCGCGCAGGCGCGTGCTTGTGAGCAAGCGAAGATATCACTGAATCGCTCACTCACGTCTAATGGATCGCAACTTGTTCGCGGAGGTACTGACGTCTACTTTTGGTGAGGCACGCTCGTATAATGTCGGGAGGCTGCTGCGATGCGGTCTTGTGTCAGTTCCGGTTCCACGCCCTATCCCATTCTCGTATTTTGACGCATGCTCACATGGCCTCATAGGACAAGCAAACGATATTGCGGAGTGCGATCTCGAGCGCCAGGCCATCGAGGCAGATAGCTTACAGCTTAAAACGTGGTCCACGCGCTGACTCGCGTTTCGATGGAACGACAACAAATGACACAGTGAATTTGTCACGTCACGAAGCTCCCGAATAAGGTACGATACAATCGGTCAGGTGCGCAGCCCAGAACACAAGATGATAAAAGGCGGTACGTGCTATTGAAGTGGCCGCAGCATGCTCACACCAGCAGTCGCAAGGGGGTACAGGATTGAAGTCGCCGAACACCAATAGGAAGCGATAGCGGAAGGGGGTGGTGGGGAAAGAGAGAACATGGAGATTGGTGAGCGCCGACTCTTCCTGGCAGTATTATGCTGCAATCACTTGCGTCTTCTCTTGCTCGCCTTTTCACCACCACCGTCCTGCGCGCAATCCGGCTTGTCGTCCATATGCCGTTTCACCGCGTCGCGCCTCGTGTACTCGCTTCCGCAGCGATGGCAAGGGTACACAATGCCATTCCAGCCAAGGCATCGTTTGCTCGTGTCCATGTGCCTCCTGCAATCGTAGTAGCGTTGGAACGTTCTGGCAGGACAGTGTGGGCAAGCGAAGCGACCGTCTGCGGTCTGCAGCGGCATAGCCCTGGGGGCAGCAGGCTCCGGAATTACAATTGCCGCTGTCTCGCGCCCACTTGTGGTGCTGGATCCAGAGCGTACTTGCCGCGGCGGATCGATGGACTGCTTGGAGTTGGCGGACATCGTGGAGGGCGCGGGCTCGACGTGCTTCCGCTTGCGAGTACTGCGCCGCAGCGAATTTTCAGCGCTTACACCCGTCTCTTCGACTGGATGCTCTGTTGTCTGCGCGGCCTTGTGCAGCGCTTGCAAGTTTGGGAGAGACAGAGGCGTGGACCGGGAGGCTACAGAGGGCCCAGCTGAAGATGGGGCTTCAGTGACGCCAAATTCGTCGTCACAGGTGGCCCCAACATCGTCAGGAGTTGAAATGTCATCTTGACCATCAACGACGCGCTTGTCCATAACATTGTCGACTGTCGTACCACGGATGCGATTTGTGTATTTAGTTGTTGTTGGTTCCTGCTCCACCTCGGGTAGACCAGGACCAACAACGCTAGATACTGGATGTGTATCTGCGGTGATACCCTGGCCAAACAGGCCTATCAGTTCGACGTCTGCATTGTACTCCCGCTGGAGGTCCTCGTCGAACGCGCTTGCCGTTGGCATTTGCATTTGGACTGCCAATGTCCTGTCTGTCTGATGGTTGGATGGTGTCACGACTGGCCCAAGGAGGCCCGCGAAATCCATCTCGGGGGCATTCGTTTCACTCATGAAGTGGGTGACTATGGCCAGCGGCCGTGGCGTGCTCTCCGGCACGATGTCTGGAGCGGAAGGCAACTGCGATGGCGGGTAGTCGTCACAGAGAAACACGTCTCTGGCGTCCGTATAGGGCGAAAATGCAGAGACGGCGCTGTGCTGAACAGGTCAACTGTGGGTTAGACGTGATTGATCAATAGGAGACAATCCTTCGCACCTTGCGCCCGTCATGAGCGCTACTCACGGACACTGAGGGTCCATTTTGGCTCCTCAACGCCCTCCAAATAAGCAGCGGCCGCAGCGCCGCTTGAGCTCCCAAGGAGTTCGCGTGGCAATCCGGAGATGAACTCTCTGGCTCCGATGAGAGCTGAGAGACATCGATGATATCGGAGAGGTCGAGAGCAGAAGTTGACATATCCGTACAGTGGGATAGAATGAGGGTGATGTGTGAAAGCAGAGGTTGGACGAAGGTAGCGTCCTCATCTCATTTATAAAGAAAGGTTGGCACGGACATCAGAACTGTGACGCCCAAAATGAGTTTCTCGTGACGAATGTGTGATTCGAATGCTGATGAGAGGCAGCGAGCAGCATGTATTTGGTAATTTGCCAAGCCTTTGTCCCCATTGTTCTGACTATGCAGAGTACAAGGTACTCCCATTCTCGGCTTTGCGCTCTCGCTGACACAAGCCATCAGGCCGTAGCCATGCTATCTGATACTGTCTGAGTGGGCCGAATCGTGACCTCATCTGCTGAGGGGAATGTACTGTTTTGAACTTATTTCCACTCTGGAAATTTTTGGAGTGGTGTGGGAAACATACGACGCGCTACACCAAGCTGGTGGAGCGCAAAGATGCACGTTGACAGGATGAGTGTCGCGGATTTGAGTCAAATGATAGCGGAGGGCAAAGGGGGCACCTGTTTCTCCTGTCACTTGCGCCATTTATTATACTCCAATCCTTTGCCTCTCCCTTCATCGAGAAAATGGTTCACGATGCAATACTCAGAAGTCGTGATCGAATCTCCCCTGAGTTGAAATTTAACACACACCCCTCTTGCGGTGTCAATGACTCCGGCGACCAATAACGACGAGCCGACGACGGGTTGGCAAGATTGATTTTTGCCAACGAGTCCAGGTGAATCACAGCATGTTCTGCTAAAGAATGATCGTGGGCAAGTATAGACCGGCTGGAGTACTTTGAATTACAAATTGTTGTCCGGGTCTTGTGAACGAAGAGGGCAGAAGACGCAATAGACGTCGATAGACTTGCACTTGAAGGCATCGTTATCTAGAACGACTCCGTAACAACGAGAGGAGTATGCTGGAGGGATGAACGGAACATTACTTGCCTAGACATGACATTAATTCCACGCGAACCGACCAGAGACTTCACGATAGATATACAAGCGGGAATCAACGGAACATGAGCAGAGGGAACGTACGATACGAAAACTGCGATCCGAAGGGGACATCATCTTACTACTGGCTCGCATCCTCGAGCCATCCTAGCGCATCCGCCACATCCACATCGCCCACACACTCCTTCGACTCGCTCTTCAGGTGACGCACCAGTGCGTCTTTCCGACTGCAGCTCGTCTCGCACCCGCCTACCATCCATCGACCCTTGTGCTCATACGGCTTTGCGCTCGCCGGGATGCCGTACTCTGACGCTAGCTCGACCGGCACCCCACAGCATGACCATTTTCCTGGAAGCCCATGCGTCTCTATATGCCGCTTCATCGAGGTCTTCAACAAGACCAGAGCGCACGACTTGCATTTCACCATGCCAGGTTCATCCATGTCCTCGGGATCAGGGACCTTGCCGTCGACCTGCACATTGCGTCTGCGGGTATGGCGTGGAGAGCGACGGGTATTGGAGCTACCCGTACGAGGGGATGGTGACGAAGAGTCGCGCACTGACACCGAGCGCGACGATGTGGAAGCGCTGCGACGGTAGGGGTGGCTCCGGTGCTTGCGAGACTGCACGGCAGAGCGTATAGGCAGCGACAGGGAACGTGACGATTCAGATTCACTGGCGTTATCAGTGCTGCCTGGTGAGAACGTGATCGAGTCTGGTGAGGAGGAAGGGGTGCATGGCAATGGAGCAAACACCGGAGACGATGATGGAGCCGAGATCGACGCAGGAATGTCCCTGGAGTAAGTGGGGTCGTTCAATGCTGAAGCAATTTCGTAAGTGCTCGGATGAGCGAGTGGAATAGGGTCGATCTCAGGGGAGTATGGTGTGCATTCGATCGTAGTTATGCTTCCGGCTTCGTATCCTGGCATCAGGAGCATCCCATTATAGTCATTATAGGGTGCAGTGCTGACGAGGTCAAGGCCGTCTTAGTGAGGAATAAGAATAGGAAAATAGGAGACTCACGACTTAAGGTTTGGATACCACACGGAGTCGTTCTCCTTGCGAGTACCTAGTGGGCTCTCCGCATAGAAGTATGAGTCCAATAGCTCTGCCGACCTTAAAGCGGAGACACTAGCGACAGCCTGTGTGTTTACGTATGGGTCCAGGCACAAGGACCGCTCGAAGGTCGATGAAAGTCCCCACACATCGAGGGGATCGTCGAGGGGATATGTCGGGTTGAAGGAAGAAGGTGGATCGTATGGCATCTCGAGGGGCGAGTGGCGTGTCGCGAATAAGACAAGAGCGAGGTGCTGGGGGCATCTCCGAGTGGTGCCCAGCCATGTCTTATATCCTGATGGTGCCCCGACATTGTGCAGCAGGGCAGTATGCTCGCCGCCTCTGGCCGCTGTTCTTGCGTCCTAATTGGGAGCCTGGGATGGGAACGTTTCGTTATAAGAACATCGTGGCAGGTGAAGTGGTGGGCAATTTGCAAATGGGCACGTGGCGGCGCCTACCGTGCCATAGTGCTTTAGCGCTGGCTTGCCCTCAACCGACCTAAGAGAACTCATGAACATTTCCTCGTTTTCAGTGATGCGTTCTGTAACCTACAAATTCTCGAAATCTCCACGTCTGCGACGTTTAGCACTTCCCTCAAGTCGAAGTACGAGAATGTCTCCCTGATGTCCATCACGGACGCTGGAAAAAGTGCGATGCTGAAGTGAATTGGCGTCCGGAAGTAGCGCATTGTAGACGGTGAGTATGTATCGGTCCTCACAAGGCCGATGGATTTGTCAAGCGCATGGTCAAGCACGGAGTCCTAGACAAGGCACCGTGATCGCCAAATTCAAAGGTCTGGGTCTCCACTAGTATAACATGTCTCTGTGTGTGGACACTCGCTGTCGAGATGGCCCTCGTTTTCTACAATCACCGGCGCGTAAATTGATATCTGCTTCTCATGACAAACGGGGAAAAATATACGTCGATTGCTGCAGTTGAACAGATCTTGCTCCTGTCTGAGGGCCTCCGTTCACGCTCGTCCCGTTCATGCTCACGGACAGGTTATACGCGTCGTTTCTTGCTCGGTCACATCTCACTTGTGCATTCTGCATTCACATCGTCGAATGTCCCAGCGCTACCAGTCTTCTAGATTTCATTTCTTGCGGGAGCAGGTATATACGTGAGATGTTGCAGTTAGTGGTGGGTATATTATCCCTAGAACTCCAATTACCACGCAAAATCATACCTGGAGGACCCGTTTGAAGTGAAGATATCACTAGATCACTGACCCGCGTCTAACTGATTGTCACCCTGAAGGTCTGCCGAGTCGTTGACCGTGTATGCGCACATCATGGAGTGACGAGTAATCTTTTTTGCTTTCATCCCCGTTCAGTGTTCTGCTTGTTCTAACTGCGGTCGATAAAAGTAGACGAGACCACTGTGAAGAGCACTCCTCTACGGAGCGGTATTACACACAGTATCCGACTTACTGTCACGACTTGGTACGGCGTCTAGCCGTTTTTTAATTTTTCCTTTTCGCGGGCTCGAACCCACGACCTCTGTACTACATGCCTGATATGGACACGTCGTTATCTACTGTACGATTAGATTAGATGGGCAGCAGTGCACGGCACAGCTCGGGCTCCGCTGACACAGCCTCTCTGACTCACCGGCCCCCGGGGCCGCGTCAGCATGCTGTGCACGGACCAGCTGTGCACGGACCAGTGCGCACAGCCTCCCCTAAACCTCCCCTGTATATAAGCCGGCCTCTGCTGCCCTAGGGACCTCAGTTTCGACCTCTTGTCCCTAGGTCAGTAAGCCTCCCTTTGTATCATTTTCTTACTTTACTAACTAATACATTTACTTGTCCCTAGCCTTAGGTTTGAGCTTCGCTCACCATCGCTTCGGTGAGAATCAGTCGGACGCCCCCAGCTCTAGGTTCTCCCCAGTCGCTTGACCCCAAGTCGCGACATTAGGTCGAAACTGAGGTCCCTAGGGCAGCAGAGGCCGGCTTATATACAGGGGAGGTTTAGGGGAGGCTGTGCGCACTGGTCCGTGCACAGCTGGTCCGTGCACAGCATGCTGACGCGGCCCCGGGGGCCGGTGAGTCAGAGAGGCTGTGTCAGCGGAGCCCGAGCTGTGCCGTGCACTGCTGCCCATCTAATCTAATCGTACAGTAGATAACGACGTGTCCATATCAGGCATGTAGTACAGAGGTCGTGGGTTCGAGCCCGCGAAAAGGAAAAATTAAAAAACGGCTAGACGCCGTACCAAGTCGTGACACTTACCTTGTGTCAGCGCCCTATAGGTTGGCTTGTCCCGTCCGCGACAGAGACATCGGTCAGCCTATAGCATGCTATTTTTCCATTCAGCGTGTCCTTCCACACATACCATTCATTTTTAGCGCAGTTTTCGTACGCAGTTCATGCTTGTTGGAGCACGACAATCCGTGCATCGTCCGGTTGCGCGCCATACCCGTGTGTTTCTTATTTTAGTTCACGCTGTTCCGCCTTCCCGCGCTGTGCCTTACTGCGTCGGCACGGCGCTCTTTCTGATTTGCCCCGACGCTCACGCTGTCAGTATCGTATCCATCATTACCCGTTACGGTAGCGTGTACGTACCTTACTGTACCTAGCCCCTAACGGACTGTCGCTATTATACCTGAGTGCCTGCATCTTGACCCTCAGTCTTTGCTCTCCCGAGCGTGCACTGAGGGTAAGTGCAATGTTGTCTGTCATGTCCGCATACCGTAGCTTACCATGTCATTAGACTGTACTACGCTACAGGTATGCTAATATACATTTAGTCTTTGCTCTCCCGAGCGTGCACTGAGGACTGTACTACGCTACAGATCTACGCTCGTGCCTCCCCCTGTTGTTGCTACAATGCTCAGCCGTGGCAAATGCACCACCACTGCAATAAATGTGGTGTCTGGGTTGCAAGTCAAATTACCCAAACAGACAATTGCGACGTGTTGGGCACTGCGATGATGAGGTAAAGTTCAAAGCCTGGATGAGATCGAAGCGGACAGCCCATATATTTTATGACATATGCATGCTTGACTGTGTGGACAACAAGCTGGGAAAGTGGGAAGGTGGTGCGATGGTACACTGCCCAGGGCTGCCAGATTTTGCAGCTTACATAGACGGGATGTGCAGCAATGAGATCTGAGACCCGAAGCTCTGTACAGTGTGAGAACGACGCTGGAAAGACCGCCGGCAGACAACGTCCTCGATGGACAGGGATCAATGGTGGATAAGGTTACAAACCGATGGGGCTACCTATGGCGCGCGACGCCTACATAAGTCCTATTCCCACACCGGCGCACGACCACGTGACCCGGGCCGGCAGCGATGCTTGCCCAACATACCCAAAAGTCAACATACAGGAGATTTAATCTGGTGCATAATTCATGATTGCGAAGCACCTGAGTCCGGGTGAAGAGGAAGGGGAGCATTTACGATTGACGTCTGCCGTCAAGCCATTTCGAAGCTTAATTTTTTCTCAGTCGACGATTTTCGCAGACTTCTGAGCCCTCTTCGTATAATTCTAGAATATGCCGAGGTTGACACGAGTGACGAGTGGCAGTGTACGTAATGGTGCGCATCATATGGGGATTTGAATATCAGCTTTACGTCAGCGCCAATCCGCTTCCGTCAAGTCCCGGAATGGCAAGTCCAGGTTCGAGATGGCCTGCCGCGGACATTGATCGGCGGACACTTGAGCTAAGAGCCTCGCTAGCAGAACGCGCTTCGTAACAACTCGTCATGTCGACACCTCTCAAAGGATCGTGCTACTGCAAATCGGTGACCTATGCGGTATCCGGTGCTCCAGTGCTCAGCGCGTTCTGCCATTGCACACAATGCCAACGTCTGGCCGGTGAGCATGCTCCGTTTCCGGTGAACGCCATGAACGTTTGAACAACTGATACACATACGTTCAGCGTCCCCTTTCGTACATACCATCCACTTTGAGGGCTCTGCAGTCGTTTGGACGCATAGCGAGCCGCACGACGATCGTCTTGACACGTTCGTCAATCCGATCAAGCCGTGGAAGACACGGTACCGCTGCAAAAACTGCGGTGTTTGTGTGGCCAGTCGGAACTCGAAGACGGGAAGCTGCAGCGTATGGGGCGCCACGTTGGAGCGTGACGAGGATGGCAAGATCAAAGCATGGGATGTGGTGAAGCCGACAGCGCATATATTCTACGGTACACGAATGCTTGAGGTGAATGATGAACTGGGGAAGTGGGAGGGCTATGAAGGAAAGTCGAATAGGGTTGCTTGATTTCGTAATATGACTTGTACAAGAATCGTTTTCGAAACTAATATATGTACTAGCCTATGGCCATTGCAAGCTCCCATTCACGAAGTCGGAGGAGAGTCCTCTTACAACGGCATGCCCCTTTCTGTATGCTCATCAATTCTCACTCAATCCAATCTTCGCAGAATTCCGATCCTTCTGTAAACGCTCTGTAAACGTAGATTCTTGAGCAAGAATACGTCGAGTTGGAGATGTGAGGCTATCCTTCCGAGTGACCCAGAAGTGCGGAGCTGTGCGCCGCCGGAGTATCGAGAACGCATCAGTGTCAAGATCTGTCAGATCGTCCCTGTCTTGACATCGCGCCTCCCTGTGGGGAAAGGTGGATTCCATCTTTGGCCGAGTCAGGCACGACGACGGATGCTTCTCTGTTTCTAACGAAAGCGTGACTTCGAAATGGATAGCTAGAGGTACATAAGATGTCAGTTGCCGCAAAGCGCACCTTGTTCCTCCCCCATCCTCCTCTCATCCCCCCTCCCCTCCTTTAGGAATACAGACCAAAAAATGCGCTTTCAGCTCGCACGACTTGCCGCACTCGCAACGTATACTCTCGCTCTCTTTCATGTCCCTGTCACATCCGCACACCCCCGCCGCAACGCTCTCACCGTCAAATCTCATGCCGCGATCTCCCGCCATGTCGACGTCCCGCCGCCGACTCCAGGGCACTTTGCGCTTCATCAGCGCCACGCCCCACGCTCATTGCTTGATGTATGCGCATACATCGACCTTGATGTCCTCGAAGACCTCGGGATTAACCTCGGCATCCCATTGGGCGCAATCCTCGACCTCGACGTCTGCCTGTGCCTTTCGCTCTTCCCGCTCGTATTAGAAACCGATGTGCAGCTTGCCGCTCTTATTCCTCTGCTCGGCATCAACAGGCTGACGGAAATCCTGACATTGGCTGTGAGTGCTCGTTCTCCGGAGCGCATATATGCACACACCTAATGTTCTACCAGATCAATGAAGCCCCTGGATCGCAACATTGCACTTGTCCCGATAATTCCGAGCCTCATTGCACGAAGGATGACCCGTGCGGATGGCATTGCAAGCCACCCTACGTGAAGAAGGACGGCCAATGCGTCTGCCCGGCTCCGTACACGGAGTGCAATGGCAAATGCGGATCGTGGCCCCACGTGAGTACCGTCCTCATGAACGCAGGAGTGCTCACCATTTTCCTCTTCGGTGTTAGGGATGTGGATCGTCCGTGCCACGTGCACTCGCTGCTGACCCGCATACCGCTGTCGCATCACTAGCAGATGCTCAACTTACCTGCAAGTCGTACGAGACGGTGAGCACTACATCCGCGCCTTCATATCACCAGTTGCATACAAGACTCAATGTGTTGCGTAGGTATGTGGTGTGTACGGCGGGTCTTCTCGAAGCTTCGAATGCCTCGACGTTGACACTGCACTCGAGAGTTGTATGTCTGTTCTGCTTATCACCTTACAACACAAGAACGCTGACGTACTTTCAGGTGGCGGCTGCATGATCCAGAACCCGTTCATTGGGAGCACCAATGGCTCGTCCTACGGAATCGATTGCACGACTATAGTTGGCGCTAACGACGTTGCGTGCGTTGGTGGAAAGTGCACCGTGACTAGCTGCGCAGACGGCTATCGTGTCAGCAATAATCGCGACGGATGTGAAGCTGTTGAGGTCGCCACAGATAACTCAGATGATGTCGATGATATAGGATCGTCTCCTGCGCGGATGCTCAAGAAGAGAGCTCCCGAGTCTGGAGAACCTGTCTCCGTAGACGATCTGATCAAGGACCTCCTTGCCCAGGCCGTGAAGGACTCGCTCCCCTATTAGTACTCTGTTTGAATTTCCCAAAGCGTTACCTCTTCTTGATACCCCTACGCGTGCCTGCATACCCCGCTTTCGTTCTATGTTGTCACTGTTTTGTAGTAGCGCTTGTCGCATAGTTTGCATTCGCAACGTAGTGTCGGAGTCGTCTCGCAGAATTGTAGCAAATATATGCACAATGCCTGTATGGTCTAAAAATGCCATTCACAGTGATCTCAACAACAGTCGATGCAAGAACTGGTTAATAGACGCGTCTGTCACAATGCTGTCATGAAACACGTGGACGTGACATATTGCGTCATACCGCTTGACAATAGACGGACGCTCGCAGAGCCCAGCATCGGATCTTAGTTGTCAACGTCTGTAATGACGCGGTTGTAGTCTTCAGCTTCTACCGAGGCGCAGCCTTATATATATGTGACCGGAAAAGGTTCAGAGATGCTGTCGTGCCGCCAATTAGGGTACTGAAAAGTATTCAACCCTCTGTGCTGTCGGCGTCTCTATGAGTCGTGACATGCTGGCGTCTTTCTAATACCATCTTTTCCAGAGTACCCCGCCAATTGTACACAGAAATTGGGCCTTACATCCACTTCAAGTCTTATTGACCCAGCGTGCCCAATAAACGGGCCAATGTGACCTCTCATCCTCTGAAAGCTACCCGTACGCCCGCGTGCACTTTCTGTTCTGTCGCCGCGTTATGACGTGCTCATTCGCGCATTAGGTTGTTTATACCATGTTCCACCGCAAGGCCGTGCATCTTTGCATCGCACACCTATTGCCCTCCGTGCGACATGTCCTCTCAACCGATCCACCGGATGGCCTTGTCGCATCCTGAACCTACCCGATCGCTTCTGTCTCAGGTACACACACGCTCGACACGGCAGGAGCTGCTGGCTCCACCGCACCCTTTCATATCCACGTATTGTCTTCCCGTAGACGATGCGCCATGGATACGTCTCTGGCAAAATCAGGCCCATCCTGTGAAGTCATCATTTCTGAGTCTATCCTCGTTCCCTATGTTTACGCCGCTGCTAGCGCAACTCTCCACTGTTTTCGTGTGCCTTCTTCCGGACAAGAGTTTGTGTCCTTGGCCTGAGACAGCGACACGCACGGAAGCTCAGATTCTGTTATGAACTCGGCTCTCGATCTCTCGCCACACCTGCATAATTCTCACGCACTTCTGTGTCCAGGCGCGACGCATAGAGCAGAGCATCTCCGCCTCCACTGACACTCTTCCGCATCCCGCTCTGTGCTTCTCGCTGTTTCCTCTCACGAGCAGGTCAAATCCCGCTTGAGCGCCCTGTGGCAGGGTGCGCATACGGCGCTTCTGGGTCCGAGACCACCTTACACGAGATCAACTCCACACACATTCCCACATGGACCCACGACCACCAAGAGCACCCGTGCGAAGGTTTGATGATCATTCTATATATATATCCTTCTGCTACCGTGATCGTAGCCATCGGCGTCCTTTCGCAAGTTCTTACCAGGGTTCCCACGACTCAAGCATAATATCAAACGGAGCGTCCCCACGGCCTAGCACAGTATGTCGGAGCTTCCGCGTGGCTCCTGCTTCTGTGGATCAGTATCATACGAAGTGACCATCAAGCCTACGCTCAGTGCATACTGCCATTATACTCAGTGCCACCGCCTTAGCGGTATGTAAGCTTGTTGAGCATCGTGCTGCTGCGCTACTAATAATCTGGATGATAAACATTGTATCAGGATGTCCTCTCGTGCATACCATTCACTACGAAGCTTAAGTGTTTTCCTGGACGCATCGCGAGCCGCACGACGCTCACATCGAGGCGTACGTCAATCCTACGAAGCCCTGGCAGGTGCCCTACTGCTGCAGGAACTGCGGCGCTTGTGTTGCCAGTCACACCAAGAGAACAGTGCCTCCCGAGAATCACTACGCTGTTTGGGGCGGGCAGCTTGAGAGCGACGGGAAGGGAAATATCAAGGCGTGTGACGTGGTAAAGCCGACGGCACATATGTTCTATGGCACGCGGATGATTGACATGCAGGATAGTTCGGGGCGATGGGACGGATGTGAGGATAAGTCTTCTCGCATCGGGTAAAATTGGAATAGCAGCGTCACATACAGACATGGGCGTTACGCACAGATACGATGATTGTATCCAGAAATTGAGGAGACGGTTTCACGTAAACCCTCGCCTGGACGACGAACATTGACAAGGCGGAATCGCTGACATGCGCGCAGAGTTGCTTGTTGATCGCTTGCATCAGTTCTGTAGCGCTCACAGAAGGCTTGAAGTTCTGTGAAGAATGTATTGAGTGAGCCTTGATGAGCATACCAAAAGAGACATGCGGTTATAGGGGAACTCTCCGACTTTGTGAATCAAGTCAGGGAGACGGGAGCTTGCAATAGCCGTATGACATATTCCAGAGTCGAGGACGCTTCCTGTAGGGCTGTACATGGCAGAATACGTCATCAAGCTACCCTGTTTGACTTTCCTTCAAAGCCCTCCCACTTCCCCAGATCGTCATTCACCTCAACCATCCGTGTACCATAGAATATATGCGCTGTCGGCTTCACCACGTCCCACGCCTTAATCTTGCCGTCCTTAGTGCGCTCCAACGTGGCGCCCCATATGCTGCAATTTCCTGTCTGGGAGTTTCGACCGGCAACGCAGACGCCGCAGTTTTTGCAGCGGTACCGTGTCTTCCACGGCTTGGTCGGAATGACGAAGGTGTCAAGTTGAGCATCGTGCGGCTCGCTATGCGTCCAAGAAAATGCGGAGCTCGCGACGTGGATGGCATGTACGAAAGGAGACGCTTAACGTATAGTATCGGCCGTCTGCGGTGCTCATCTTCATCGAGAAGGCTGCGTGCTCACCGAATTGACGCTGGCATTGAGTGCAATGGCAGAACGCGCTGAGTGCTGGAGCACCGGATACCACATAGGTCACCGCTGTGCAAAAGCACGATCCCTTGAGAGGTGCCGACATTATGAACTGTCACGAAGAGTATTTTGCTAGCGAGGACACTCGAGGGTCTCAGTTCAAGGATGCAGTGGCGCCCACTGATCTCTATCCGCAGCATGTTTCGGACTTGCTATTCCGGGACTTGATGGAAGCAATCTGTCTCTTAGAGTTCGCACGCACGAATATACCAAATTTGGAGCATAACTCTAATCCGAATGATGTACGGTGAAAGAAGTAACGGTCGATCAGGTGCATTGTGTATTCCAGCGATAGCGAAGTCATGGAAAGCGACGGATTGGCGTGACAACAAAAGTGGGGTGAATCAATATGAGATAAGAGTAGACGAGAAAATGTGAACGAAATGAAAGCGGGCGAAGAACCGCACCCTCCCCCTCCTGTGGGAAAGAGAAGCGCAGTTGTCGGCATGGAACATGGATGTAGGGGTCCCAAGTGAGCAGCGATACTCATAGATCAGGAGAGCAACGAAGCATCGGCAGAGCCGAAATACACCGCCTGTAGAATATGGACGACATGGAGAGAGTGTAGTTTGCCAGTTAGCCTACCAGCGTCATGGAGTAACGAACGAGGTCATCTTAAAGGTCCGGTACGGCATGCATGCAGTCACCGGTGTGGCACAATCTCGGGTTAGGAGGACGGCGTGCAGCGGGAGAAATTCAACGGGGAGTATGAGCAGGTGTGCCATGGCGCGAGGACCGATGAAGCATGTACGGGTCCCCCGTAGGCGCAAAGATGCGGCCGAACTGGCAGTATGCGGCACGTGGGGGGAGGAGAAGAGGGAACAGGCGGCACAGGAGATGCGCAGGGAGATGCACGCGGATGACGCCAGATGCAAAAGGTTGTGGCGACGTGAAACGGGACACAGGCACAACATGATTGCGGAGGTCAAGAAGGAAAGTGGGATGAATCACAAAGGTGGGGTGTAGAGGACACAGGTGAAAAAACAATCGTTAGCAGAGCATGGCAAGTAGGGACAGGTGGCAAACGCATCAACCTCATGCGCTCTTCTTGGCTACTACTCAGGAGTCTCTCCAGAATCTCATCTAAGAGGTCAACCTTGGTGTTACTGATGTTGTAGCCCTCGTCGCGCGCGAGCTGTGCGTGCCGGTGGCAGTGGATACGGGCCAGAAAGGCGGCCAGGGATTCCTTGCCTCAAGGCTGCTTTGTGAAAGGGTGTCGAGAGTGTGTAGACGAATGCTTTGAGCATGGAGACTTCAGTCGCAAGCCAGTCCGCGGCATCAATGACGAGTTGAAAATTACTATTGTTGGTGCAGTACTGGAATCAAGTCAAGTTTTCGTCGGAGAGCGGAATGCGTGGTTTCTGCGAGCCGGCTGAAGTGTCATCTACAGTGGGGAGTCCATTGCTCACAGTAGTGCAGTACTCGAGGGTGAAATACCATAGCTTGACGTATTCACCCTTCTCGAGCTTCTGGAAAGCATAGGCGGATGGTCGCTGGTAAAGGTATGAGGGTGGCTCATGGCCCATATATGCTTTAACGAGCTGGGGGAATCTTCGTTCATGCACGAATCGAGCGTCCTCGCCAGCGGCATCGTCAGCTTGCTTGCAAGCCGCAGCGGTCCGTAAGAAGCATTCGTAGTCGGCAATGTAGTTTACCCATAGCTGGGCAGCCCATTGTGCCTTCTTCATGTTGCTTTGAGTAGACTAGACTGCAAGAGGGTGTTCTACGACAGGGGAGTCCAAAGCAACCTGCCCAGTCTCGAGTAAGCTCCGCCGGACGATCTCATACTTAGGAGCACCGAATTCGGGGCGGAGTTGGAGTCCCGAAGCAAAGATCAGGACGAGCTCTAGTCACGTACAGAATCAGTCATGAAGTAAGAGAAATAAGAGGATTATAGGGGTGCAAGCAAAGTGCGTGCGACGGCTAGAAGCAAGCGCAGCATCTTTAGCGCTCGCTATTCTTCACGTCAACCTCGACATATTTTCCTTGAAGAATTTTACGAAGAAGGCTCTGGATCATTCAGATATTGGTCATTGGAGCCATAAGAGCAGATCAAACGGGTTTACGGCCTCGCGGCCGTACACGAGTCCAGCGCGAGAAGCAGCGCCCGATGCTTCGACAACGGGGGGAAACAACGAGAGAGAATCGGTGGGCGGAGAACATTGTTCCTCTCAATAAAAAAGGGCACAGATAACCGCAGGGAAGAGGCCAATGACGAGGTTCGGGCAGCTGTCGGGAGAACGAGAGTGCAGTGAAGGACCGCAGCGGACGGGCTAGTTCTCCTTCATTACACCAAGAAAGAAGGTCACGATCAGCAGCCCGTGGATCTCAATTCCTCCATAGGTAGAGTTCCGGGAAGCAAAAGGGAACACGCACCATTATTCTCCGAGTGTTGAGAAAACGCGGGCCGTCGTGGAGGGCATACGCGAATTAGAGTAACGTATATGCATCGTGCGGTGAGGTTGAGAATGTAAGATGATGTTGCGGCGACCCCCACAAGTTCTAACCGCGCAAGTAGTACCATCGAAAGGAGCTTCGAGACACACGGAGGAGACAGGGCGTCATCTGCTGCTGCAAGCGATTTAGCGTAGCAGGGCTTCAAAAGTCTACAACGGAAAGTCAGAACATACTAATGAGACTGAGAGGAGAAAGACACGATGTGTATAGTCGCTCGTTGACTATGAACGGGGCGAGCATGAACAACCACCTACGCTCCGGTGATGGTCGTCTCAGAAGTGAGTTTCTGCACATTCAGATATCATAACAAAGACCTACACCTTTGGATTTGGCAATCGCATCGTCTCGTTCGCAAATTCATGGTCCATCCCGACCCGGGAAAAGGCGTCGGTGTAGCAAGGGCCAATACATACCCAGCGGTTACTTTCTGATGCTGGGTCACTGCAGCGTCCGTTATGGACGATAGGGAACCACTGTTGTACTCAACGCAAACGTTGTACTTTACAATCAAGGATGCTCCCAGACGACATAACGACAGAACACACCATCAAAAGCTAGGATGTGTTGGTAAGTTTCTCTAGATTGAAAAGAAACAAGCGCTTAATGACTCCGGACGGAGCACGGCACGGTAGGCGCGGCCACGTGCGCTATTTCAAATTGCCCACCACTTCACCTGCCACGATGTTCTTATAAAGAAACGTTCCCATCCCAGGCTCCCAATTAGGACGCAAGAACAGCGGCGAGAGGCGGCGAGCATACTGCCCTGCTGCACAATGTCGGGGCACCATCAGGATATAAGACATGGCTGGGCACCACTCGGAGATGCCCCCAGCACCTCGCTCTTGCCCCATTCGCGACACGCCACTCACCCCTCGAGATGCCATACCCTCAGGCCGACTCCTTCGTTTCATATGCTCTCGACAATTCTCTTGACACATCTGGAATGATGCTTCCATTTGGAGGATCCATGCGCCTAGACTCATGTTTACCTTCGCAAGTCGAACAGTCGGTCGGTAGCTCTGCTAATCCACGGACACCATGGACAAGCGAGAACTCGTACCTTGATATCATGAGGTCCTCCGAATACATGTTTACACATTGGTACTCAGACCTCGACCCGTGAGCAATCCACCTACTATGTCGGTATTCCTCACTAACCCACCTTCGCCAGTGCCGCTCATTATGATGGGTACGATGGGATGGTCTTTACGTCGGAACACGCGTCGGAATACGCGATTTCTGCAGCAAAATGCCTGCTTACTACACCTATCGACCCGATTCTCATAGCACACCCGAGAACGTATGAAATAGCGTCGGCGCTGGACTACCCCGCTCACGCTCCTAGCTCTCCTAAGACGCTCTCGACTGTCTCGACGTGTTCCGACTCCACTCTGTCTGTGTACACGCCTTCACCGTCCCCGTACTCGACCACGTCCTCGTTGGGCAGCGACAACGGCTCGTGCGACCACGAAGTTACGTGCTCTCCGTTTCCAAGAAATCCATCGTCTGCTAGCAGCTCTCGCAAGGACCGCAGTGTCCCTCATTGTCCGTCGTCATCCAGTTCAATCCTCGTGTCTTTGTCATCGACTTCTCAAACGCGCAGACCCAAGGCGCGGCGCTCTCCCATTCGCGTCCGCAGACGCAACGTTCAAGTCGGCACGATCGTACCAGAGCCACGGGCTACGCGTGTTCCTAAATTGGTCCAGTGCACCGTGGAGGGGTGCGGCAAGGTGCTAACGAAGGGCGCGATGCGGCGGCACAAGGAGACCCACAAAGAGCAGGACAAATGGAGGTGCTGTGGAATCCCGATTGAGATGGCGTTCGGGTTGGCGAATGCGGATACGAGCTCAGTTCAACGGATGGTTGGTGGTTGCTGGGAGGTTTTCAGTCGGAAGGACGCGTTGGAGCGCCATCTGAAGAACCCTAACAACCCTTGTATTGGTGATGTGGAACGCGCGGAGTTGCTGGGACGGTTCGAGGACGCGAGCGAGTGACGCTGGATTGCTCATGTATTGGTCTGCCGGATCCTCAGTGCTTCCGCTGTTTGCTATGTATTCCTATTTGGGACTTAGGCTTGCTTAACAATGTGATACATAGACGACAGTTTTTGTAGCAATGGCATTTCAATGTACAAGTCTAGGTTTGGTCGACAATGTGAAGCTTCCACTCTAAGCATTCCCTTCCTGGTAGTAGGATGCGGACAACGCTTGCGCGCAAAAACGTGTAGCCGATCGAGTGGGGAGACGGCCAGCCACACATGGTACGCATCACTGATACGGACGTGGAACAAGGGGACAATGATAACGTCCAAGATAGGACACAACGCGTATGGCACAAAGGATCTGTAGCCACGAGGAGTCACATCCCCGTGACTTGCGCGCGCGCAGTATAAGACTGTTCACTGCGGCGGCACCTCAGCCACGAACTCCTCATACTCGACCACCACACTGCAGAGCACATCCCCCAGGCTCTACCAAACATCCACCTCCCACAAATCGTAACAACGTATCAGTACATCGTCACGATGACTACTAAACTCGCGCAATCCGCATCTGTGGCGTCCATCGCCCTGAATTTGCCGGGATCGCCACGAGAAGCAGCCACAGAACACATAGCGGGCCTGGTACGTAATGCGTGTATCGCTTGAGATGCTAAGAAGCTCACGCAGGGAAGCAGAACCTGGATGAGCAGCATGCTCTTCAGGGCCTCATGATGATGGCGGAGCGACTGCCATCGAGTGGCGCAAATACACGCACCCTAAGGCTTGCAGCACCACAAGCCGCTTCAGTAGTGGATGCTTCAACCACTGCTATCAAGGTTCCCAGCCGACCAGCTCGGCGCAAAGTCGTGGCCAGACAGGAGGGCACTCGGCGCAGCAAGCGGCTGCTCGAGAAGGCGAGCATCGCTCCTGCCCTGTCGAATGAGCGACAAGGAAAAGATGGTACGAGTATAGCGCAGTATAGCAGGACACAATGGACTGACAATATCCACGTCATCAGGGTCGAAGCCTAGAAGCAAGGCCGAGACGGACCAGTGCGTGCTCCGTGCATCGAATGGGTCCGGGGATGTCGAAGAGTGAGTAAATATGCCCTCCCTTATGATATATTCTTCTCAGAGAGTTCCACCGCTGACCAACCTGTCAGAAAGCCCACGCCCTCCGGGGAGAAATCTTCCTCGACCAAGAGGACGAAAAGAAAGCGAAATGAGAACAACGGGTACGGCGCACAAATAACAGCGGCGAAGAAGAAACGGACGTGATACTATGTGATGCGCCATGAAAGCTGCGATAAGATCGCTCAGCAGACGAGCAGCCTGATATGCAACCCTGCAGACTATAACCCGCCGCCTTGTCCTTGTATAGCGTCAGCAGGGGCCATGCGCGCCCGCTGCTCGCTGTGGCCATTCCGCATGTCATCCCCCATTTCAATGGTCGACTGGCCCGTCTTCTACCCACCTCGTACGTTGTCACCATCACTTGGTGTTCCCCTTGCAACCCTCTTACACCATTTTACAGAGTTACGCATCGTCTTCAATGCACGAGCGGCGGGCCCTTGCGAAAAGAATTGTCCCAAGCGCGAATGTGTGCGACCATACAACACAGAGGCCGTGCATCAATTCGGAGAGAAAGGACGCCTTCGGTCCAAAGCGACCACCAGGATGGGGACTACAAGAATAGAATAACGCACCTTGCCACGATTTGCGGTCGTCGACATTTTGTGTGTCTTTCTTCTCTTCGACACATGAGCTGTAATCGTACATAGCTAGTTGGGTGTTATCGTTTGACTGGCGTCCGATGTTGAGGGGAGGACGTTACTGCCAAATCCTCTATATATAACACGAATAAAGCTGCACATTTGTTGCATGTTACATCTGGGATACAGCAGTCAGAACCGCATGGGGCTCTCGTTGAAATCATGCGCCCCTCTTCGGAGTCGAAGACGTCCTGATTCACATAACAGTAATCCAACGTACTAGCGTCATACTGTCACTTCAGCCTCTCGACAGGCACGACGCCTGGAAAGTACATGTTTATGAGTACATCTTGTATGTCTCGTAACGCCTAGTGTAAGTGTGCACTGTTGAGGAGTATGTTCAAGCGCGGCACGAACACGCTGGCTCACAGAGAGATTGATCTCGATCACGTCAGACCTACCCGGCTGTCTCCGGATAGCCTTTTAGAACACGACCAACTTCAGCGAGGACTCCGCCCTCTTCTTTCGACACGGATTGAACATTATCTTTCGATGAAGTACTTTCCAACTGCATATTCATGATGAACATGTGGATCGCAGTCAACTTGTCCAAACCTCGCCGCGCCGATGCATCAATCGTCGCCCCGCGTTATGTCATGCAGACCGTTAATGCTAAACACTGCAAGCAACTAGTCATGCTAGTGACATTTTATTCACATAGCTATCATCCAGCAAGTGGTTCTTTCTAGTACTGGCATCTCACAAAGACCAGTACGCTCTCGGACAAGCATGCGCCAACTATGGAACGGCGCACGGCACGGTAGACGCTGCCACGTGTGATATTTCAAATTGCCCACCACTTCACCTGCCACGATGTTCTTATAACGAAACGTTCCCATCCCAGGCTCCCAATTAGGACGCAAGAACAGCGGCGAGAGGCGGCGAGCATACTGCCCTGCTGCACAATGTCGGGGCACCATCAGGATATAAGACATGGCTGGGCACCACTCGGAGATGCCCCCAGCACCTCGCTCTTGTCTTATTTGCAACACGCCACTCGCCCCTCGAGATGCCATACAATCCACCTTCTTCCTTCAACCCGACATATCCCCTCGACGATCCCCTCGATGTGTGGGGACTTTCTTCGACCTTCGAGCGGTCCTTGTGCCTGGACCCATACGTAAACACACAGGCTGTCGCTAGTGTCTCCACTTTAAGGTCGGCAGAGCTATTGGACTCATACTTCTATGCGGAGAGCCCACTAGGTACTCGCAAGGAGAGCAACTCCGTGTGGTATCCAAACCTTAACTCGTGAGTCTCCTATTTTCCTATTCTTATTCCTCACTAAGACGGCCTTGACCTCGTCAGCACTGCACCCTATAATGACTATAATGGGATGCTCCTGATGCCAGGATACGAAGCCGGAAGCATAACTACGATTGAATGCACACCGTACTCCTCTGAGATCGACCCTATTCTACTCGCTCATCCGAGCACTTACGAGATTGCTTCAGCATTGAACGACCCCACTTACTCCAGGGACATTGCTGCGTCGATCTCGGCTCCATCATCGTCTCCGGTGTTTGCTCCATTGCCATGCACCCCTTCCTCCTCACCAGACTCAATCACGCTCTCACCAGGCAGCACTGATAGCGCCAGTGAATCTGGATCGTCACGTTCCCTGTCGCTGCCTATACGCTCTGCCGTGCAGTCTCGCAAGCACCGGAGCCACCCCTACCGTCGCAGCGCTTCCACATCGCCGCGCTCGGTGTCAGCGCGCGACTCTTCGTCACCATCCCCTCGTACGGGTAGCTCCAATACCCGTCGCTCCCCACGCCATACCCGCAGACGCAATGTGCAGGTCGACGGCAAGGTCCCTGATCCCGAGGACATGGATGAACCTGGCATGGTGAAATGCAAGTCGTGCGATCTGGTGCTCTTGAAGACCTCGATGAAGCGGCATATAGAGACGCATGGGCTTCCAGGAAAATGGTCATGCTGTGGGGTGCCGGTCGAGCTAGCGTCAGAGTACGGCATCCCGGCGAGCGCAAAGCCGTATGAGCACAAGGGTCGATGGATGGTAGGCGGGTGCGAGACGAGCTGCAGTCGGAAAGACGCACTGGTGCGTCACCTGAATAGCGAGTCGAAGGAGTGTGTGGGTGATGTGGATGTGGCGGATGCGCTAGGATGGCTCGAGGATGCGAGCCAGTAGTAAGATGATGTCCCCTTCGGATCGCAGTTTTCGTATCGTACGTTCCCTCTGCTCATGTTCCGTTGATTCCCGCTTGTATATCTATCGTGAAGTCTCTGGTCGGTTCGCGTGGAATTAATGTCATGTCTAGGCAAGTAATGTTCCGTTCATCCCTCCAGCATACTCCTCTCGTTGTTACGGAGTCGTTCTAGATAACGATGCCTTCAAGTGCAAGTCTATCGACGTCTATTGCGTCTTCTGCCCTCTTCGTTCACAAGACCCGGACAACAATTTGTAATTCAAAGTACTCCAGCCGGTCTATACTTGCCCACGATTATTCTTTAGCAGAACATGCTATGATTCACCTGGACTCGTTGGCAAAATCCAATCTTGCCAACCCGTCGTCGACTCGTCATTCTTGGTCGCCGGAGTCTTTGACACTGCAAGAGGGGTGTGTGTTAAATTTCAACTCAGGGGAGATTCGATCCTTGTCGGAAATCACGACTTCTGAGTATTGCATCGTGAACCATTTTGTCGATGAAGGGAGAGGCAAAGGATTGCAGTGTAATAAATGGCGCAAGTGACAAGAGAAACAGGTGCCCCCTTTGCCCTCCGCTATCATTCGACTCAAATCCGCGACACTCATCCTGTCAACGTGCATCTTTGCGCTTCACCACCTTGGTGTAGCGCGTCGTATGTTTCTCACACCACTCCAAATATTTCCAGAGTGGAAATCAGTTCAAAACAGTACATTCCCCTCAGCTGAGGTCATGATTCGGCCCACTCAGACAGTATCAGATAGCATGGCTACGGCCTGATGGCTTGTGTCAGCGAGAGCGCAAAGCCGAGAATGGGAGTACCTTGTACTCTGCATAGTTAGAACAATGGGGACAAAGGCTTGGCAAATTACCAAATCCATGCTGCTCGCTGCCTCTCATCAGCATTCGAATCACACATTCGTCACGAGAAACACACTTTGGGCGTCACAGTTCTGATGTCCGTGCCAACCTCTCTTTATAAACGACACGAGGACGCTACCTTCGCCCAACTTCTGCCTTCACACCTCGCCCTCATTCTATCCCACTGTACGGATATGACGACTTCTGCTCTCGACCTCTCCGATATCATCGACGTCTCCCAGCTCTCATCTGAGCCTGAGAATTCATCTCCGGATCTCCACGCGAACTCCCTGGGAGGTCAAGCGGCGCTACGGCCGCTGCTTATTTGGAGGGCTTTGAGGAGCCAAAATGGACCCTCTGTCTCCGTGAGCGACGCTCATGACGGGCGCAAGGTGCGCAGAATTGTCTCCTATTGATCAATCACGTCTAACCCACAGTTGGTCCGTTCAGCACAGCGCCGTCTCCCCATTTCCGCCCCATATAGACAGCAGAGACGTGTTTCTCTGTGAAAACCACCCACCATCCCAGTCGCCTTCCGCTCCAGATATCGTGCCGGAGAGCACGCCACTGCCGCTCGCCATAAGCACCCACTTCGTGAGTGAAGCGAATGTCCCCGAGATGGATTTCGCGGGCCTCCTTGAGCCAGTCGTGACACCATCCGACCACCAGACAGACAGGACATTGGCAGTCCACATTCAAATGCTAATGGCAAATGCATATGACGAAGACCTCCACCGGGAGTACAATGCCGACGTCGAATTGACAGACCTGTTTGGCCGTAGCGTCACCGCAGATACGCATGATGTATCTAGCGTTGTTGTTCCCGGTCCACCCGAGGTGGAGCAGGAACCAACGACAACTAAATACACAAATTGCATTCGCGATGCCACAGTCAACAGTGATGTGGACAAGCACGTCCTTGATGGTCAAGACAACACGTCAGCCCTTGATGATGGCGTGGCCAACTGCGACGGTGAATATAGCGTCACCGAGGTCCCGTCTTCAGCTGGGCCCTCTCTGGCCTCCCGGTCCACTCATCCCTCTCGCCCGAGCTTGCAAGCGCTGCACAAGGCCACGCAGACAACAGAGCATCCAGTCGAAGCGGCAGGTACGAACGCGAAGGATTCGCTGCGGCGCAGTACTCGCAAGCGGAAGCACGTCGAGCCCGCGCCCTCCACGATGTCCGCCAACTCCAAGCAGTCGATCGATCCGCTGCAGCAAGTACCCTCTGGATCCAGCACCACAAGTGGGCGCGAGACAGCGGCAATGGTAATTCCGGAGCCTGCTGCTCCCAGACTTGTACCGCTGCAGACCGCAGACGGTCGCTTCGCTTGCCCACACTGTCCTGCCAGAACATTCCAGCGCTACCACGATTGCAGGAGGCACATGGACACAAGCAAGCGATGCCTTGGCTGGAATGGCATCGTGTACCCTTGCCATCGCTGCGGAAGCGAATATACGAGGCGCGACGCAGTAAAACGGCATATGGACGATAAGCCGAATTGCGCGCAGGACGGCGGTGAAAAGGCGAGCAAGAGAAGACGCAAGTGATTGCAACATAATCCTGCCAGAAAGCGTCGGCGCTCACCAATCTCCATGTTCTCTCTTTCCCCACCACCCCCTTCCGCTATCGCTTCCTATTGGTGTTCGGCGACTTCAGTCCTGTATCCCTTTGAGATCGCTGTTCGGAGCATGCTGCGGCCACTTCAATAGCACGTACCGCCTTTTATCATCTTGTGTTCTGGGCTGCGCACCTGACCGATTGTATCGCACCTTACTCGGGAGCTTCGTGAGGTGACAAATTCACTGTGCCATTTGTTGTCGCTCCCTGGAAATGCGAGTCAGCGCGTGGACCACGTTATGAGCTGCAAGCTATCTCCCTCGATAGCTTGGCACTCGAGATCGCACCTCCGCAATATTGTTCGCTTGTCCTGTGAGGCAATGTGAACACGCATATGCAAGATACGAAAATGAGATGGGGACCGGAACCAACACATAATCACATCGGAGCAGCCGCCCGACATTATACGTGTGTGCCTCACCGAAAGTAGACGTCAGCACCTGCGCAAAAAAGTTGCGATCCATTAGACGTGGGTGAGCGATCCGGGTATATCGTCGCTTGCCCACAAGCACGCACCTGCGTGGTCGCTGAAGGTCCGGGGATGGAGGCATGGCCCACCGCTGACTATGCCGTCCCACAGCAACATTGAAAGATTGCGAACGTACGTGCTCTCACACTGTGACACGAATTAAAATGCAAACACGTGGTAGCGCTGCGACAGTCGACGATGAAAGAGCAGGATGCGCAATCCAAGGAAGAAACAACGCGTATGATCGGTCCGTGAGCATGAACGGGACGAGAATGAACGGAGGCCCTCGAGCATATTCCGTCCACTACAGCAAACGATCTAGCTTGTTGTCCGCTCGTCGCAGGAAGTACATGACCATCTACGCCGCGGCGCTTGTGGAAGACGATGGCCACATCAACATCGAAACTCCACATACACAGAGATATGATAGCGGAGAGACACACGCCTTTAAATCTGGCGATCGTGCTGTCTCATCCAGCGTCCCGTGTTCCACCTCGGGAAAGGCATCACGGTATACTCAATGTCTAAACGCGTTACCTCCGGACGGCCAGTCACTACAGCCTCGCACTCTGCCTCCTTCATGGACGACAAAAGGGCACTGTTATACCTGACGCAGGCACCCGACGTCGCAGGCGCAGAGATTCCTGGAGGATGGAGCGAACATATCGCATCACTGGAAACTAGGAGACGTTGGTGAGTCAACTATTTTATAGAGAGAGATCCGCACCCTTGGCGATCGCGTCGTCTGAACCAGGGCTCAGAGCCAGTGCATACCCAGCGGATTTCATTATCGACAGAGAGATTCATTTATATTTGCAACAGGTACTCGACGTTGCAAGCGCAGATTACAAAAACCTAGGAAATGTTTATAATGAGTTTTGGTAGCAAGCCAGCGCTAAAGGACGACGGAGCGGAGCACGGCGCGGTAGGCGCTGCCACGTGTGATATTTCAAATTGCCCACCACTTCACCTGCCACGATGTTCTTATAACGAAACGTTCCCATCCCAGGCTCCCAATTAGGACGCAAGAACAGCGGCGAGAGGCGGCGAGCATACTGCCCTGCTGCACAATGTCGGGGCACCATCAGGATATAAGACATGGCTGGGCACCCCTCGGAGATGCCCCCAGCACCCTGCTCTTGTCTTATTCGCGACACGTCACTCATCCCTCGACATGGCATACCCTCAGGCCGACTCCTTCGTTTCATATACTCTCGTCAATCCTCTTGATGCATCCGGAATTACGCTGTCATTTGAGCAGGCCATGCGCCTACACTCATCTTCACATCCGCAGGCCGAACAGCCGGTCGGTGGTTTCCCCACTCCATGGATAATCGAGAACTCGTACCTCGATATCATGCGTCCCCCGGAGGATGTGTACACACCTTGGCATCTAGACGGCCAGTCGTGGGTGTCCCACTTATTATGTTGCTATTCCTCACTAACCCGCCTTCATCAGTGCTGTGCTGGGTAACACGTACGATGCCATGCTCCTCGCGTCGGAATACGCGTCGGAGCACGGCAGGCTGGCTGCAGCAGAATGCCTTCTCAGCCCTCCCATAGACCCAGTATTCATAGCCCATCCAAGAACATATGAGATCGCATCGGCGCTGGACGATTTCGCGCACACTGCCAACTCT